AAAAAAAAAAAAAAAAAAATATAACAACTACTTTAGAAGCCATCCTCGTGTTGCAGAAGGACAACGTTCAGAAGAGGTTGGGGCCAGGCTCTAATGTGTCCTCCACCACTCAACAATGTCATGACGCTTGGAGTCTACTCCCCTCTGAAATGAGGGACTGCACGGAAGCCCGTGCGATCCCTTCTAGCTTTAAAATCTTATTTCAGGAATAAGATGTCAGTGGCATTTTTCTGTTGTTCAAGAACTGTAACTGGGGCAAAAAGTTCTAAGCACGCCAATTTCCAAATTCAGAGATCTACTAGCAGTGGGAAGCAGCTGTCTCTCTGCAGGGCTTGCAAACGGGGGCTGGGCAGAGCCAGCACAGGAAGGTCACCTTGTCCAAGGCCACACAGGCATGAAGCAGCAAAGTGTACAGTTACATCACAGTCAACTCCAAAGCCCGCATTCCCAGCCAGTGTGTCCCTTCAGTTTCCTGTGAAAACGTCCCGTTCACATTTTTGGTAAAAAGTTTTGATTAAAACAAAGAAGATGAGTGTTCTTCAAGTGGTCCATTTCCCCAATAGTGGAATAAAAAATAAACTTCATAAGCAAGATGTAACAAGGCCAATGAAATACATAATAAGAAAGATTTCCGGTCCTGGATAAGATGGTACGGACAGCACCAGCTGCCAGCTGTCTCTGAATCCAATGCTGGATATGCCAGAGGGGAGAGGAACTCAGGAGGCAGAGGCTGCAGTGAGCCGAGATCGCACCACTGCACTCCAGCCTGGGTGACAGAGCAAGACTCCATCTCAAAACAACAACAGCAACAAAACAAAACAACCATATTAAAGACATCAGGACCTCAACTGAGAAACCTCACTGTGCCATACTAGACAGTAAAATTTAAGAGTTTCAAAGATCAAGAGAAATTCTAATCATTTCTAGACAGAAAAAGTAGATCCCTTTCAAAGAAGCAAGAATCAGATTTCTTGGCAACAACCCTGGATAAAAGTAGATTAAGAGGCTGAGTGTGGTACCTCACACCTGCAATTCCAGCACTTTGGGAGGCTGAGGCAGTTGGATCACTTGAGGTCAGGAGTTCGAGGCCAGCCTGGCCAACATGGTGAAAACCTGTCTCTACTAAATTACAAAAAATTAGCCAGGTATGGTGGCACGTGTCTGTAGTCCCAGCTATGCGGGAGGCTGAGGCACTAGAATCGCTGAGATTGTGCCACTGTACTCCAGCCTGGGTGATAGAGTAAGACTCCGTCTCAAAAAAAAAAAAAAAAAAAGAAAAGAAAAGAAAGAAGAAAAATGAGTCCAGCAGAAAGTAAGAAAAAGTAAATGAAAGAATTTGGGGCTGGGTGCTCACACCTGCAATCCCAGCACTTTAGGAGGCTGAGGTGGGCGGATCACCTGAGGTCAGGAGTTCAAGACCATCCTGGCTAACTTGGTAAAACCCCATCTGTACTAAAAATACAAAAATTAGCTGGCCATGGTGGCACGCGCCTGTAATCCCAGGTAGCTACTCAGGAGTTTGTTGCTGGAAAATCACTTGAACCTGGGAAGCGAGGTTGCAGTGAGCCAAGATCGCACCACTGAATTGCAGCCTGGGATACAGAGTAAAACTCTGTCTCAAAAAAAAGAAAAAAAAAAGGAATTTGATAAATTGTTGAATTGTTGGTCCAAATAAGTTAGGATTTGTTTTTTAAAAGCCCATAAATTGCACTCTGCTCTTTAATGGACTCAACGCAGCAGTGTACCTCCTAGCCATCCCTCAAAGCAGCACAGAAATCTTTCAGGGTTTCCCCTTTTCTCTTCTATTTTTCCTCCCATATCCCCGCTGGCTGGAGGATCTTACTTGATAACTGGTGCTAGAGGCCCAAAAGTCTCTTCATGAGAGCAGAGCATGTCCTGGGTGACATTGCTGAGCAGGGTAGGCTCAAAGAAGTTTTTTCCAAGTTGGTGTCGTTTTCCGCCTGTCACCACGGTGGCCCCCTTACAAACAGCATCATTCACCTGTTTCTCCACCTGCGTGGTGAGGAAGAAAGACAGCTTTCCATATGATACAATCTTTTAGAACATTTAAACTGCAGAAAACTAGAACTAGTTCTTTTTTCTTTAAAAGAAGGTTAAAAATAAAGCATGCTGGTTTCCTTTTGTAGAAGGAACGTTTGCAGAGATTCAGAAGCAAGAGTGCCACCTTCATCCTTGCTCTGTGATCTCTGTGTTGGATCTTCCTACGTGTTGCATGGTCTACTATATATTCACTTCTTTCTAGGCCTGAGGCTCAGCTGTTTCTGGGATTTGCTTTCATTGCATTCTGCGTTATTTCCACCTTCTTGCATGCCATGTAGTCCTCTCTCCTGAACTCAGTGTTTATGGCTTTCTGACACACACATTCTCCTCAAGTAGTTGTTTTAAAAAAGATGCGCTCAGTGTGGTCTACTTTCTGAATTTTCGTACACCAAGTGTCTGGTGTTTTATCTTGTACTCCACCTGATTGATAATTTGCTTGAGTACAGAATTCTGATCCAAAATAACTTCCCTTCGGCACTTAGAGTGCACTTCTGCACTTCTAGTGTTGCTGATGAAGTCTGAGCCAAAAATGGTTCTCACCCTTTATGTGACAGCTTTTTCCTCACCCTTTTATGCGATAGCTATATAGCTTAAATTTTAGACTATGGGAGCACAGAAGATCCTAGGAGATTTTATATATATATATATATATATTTAAAATTACACATATATATTTCCCTTTTCATTCATCCTACACGGTAATCGGTGAAATCTTTCAATCTGCAGAATAATTATTTTCCCCTAATTCTGAGAAGTTTCCATCTATAATTTACCTGGTAATGTCATTTCCTCCATCTTCTCAATTATTTTATTCTAAAACTCCTACTACTCTGACAGGTATTAGTAGTTCAGATTAGTTCTGATTTTTTGGCATTTCTACTCTATTTTTGGCCTATCATTTGCTTTAAACTCCATGAGGTTGCCTACATTTTATTATCTATCTTCAGCTACTGAATCTTGTGACAGTTGTGTCTAATTTCTACAGACTTTGTTTTCACCGCTTCATTTCCTAGAACTTCCTTCTTATCAACAGTTTACAGATGTTCTGTCTTCTCAAAACTCCTGTAGGACACGGTGAGATTCTTAGAAAATTCCTTCCAGTTCCCTAATTTATCTGCTTCCTTCAGGGACTGTTGTGTTTGTTCCTCCTGCCCCTTCCTCTTATGTGCTGCTGGTTATCACACCACGACCCTTGCTTGTTCATCTTTCTGAATGAAGGGCTGAGCTGTCAAAACTAACTAACTTGGTTGACTCCCTCCCAGCCCCAGCAGTGTGTTTGGGGCACACACATACAAAAGAACTGGGTTGATGAGTTTGAGGATGTGTGGCCTGAGTGGTCTTTCTGTTTTAAGTTTGGGTTTATTCTAACTTACAGGTTTCACGTAAGAGCAGCGCCCTTTCCCAAAGGAAGATAGTATTTCTTCAGAAATACTGTCCTGCCCAGAAAAACTGCCTCTGCTGTCTTGGTGGTAGTAGTGGTAGGTAGGGATGGTGGGAAGGACCCACAAAATTGTGCAAAAGTAGAACCAACCAGCTTCATCTCCCCGCCCCATCCCTATTTTCTATACCTACCAATTCTAGAAAGGATCTAGAAACGGTCTGTCATTTAAAATGGTACCAACTTCCTCTGCAGGGTTCCCCTGGGTAGACCCATCTATTTTGACTTCTATTAGCACAATCCCTTCTGAGTTCCAGACGTTCATTACAATGTTTAGTTCACTGGAGTTGTTTTCCCTTCCATTTTCAGCTGATTTTCCTGTTTTTTTGTTTTTGAGACCAAGTCTCACTTTGTTACTCAGGCTGACGTGCAGTGGTGTGATCTCAGCTCACTGCAACCTCCACTTCTTGGGTTTAGGCAGTTCTCTTGCCTCAGCCTCCTGAGTAGCTGGGATTACAGCTGCTTGCCACCACGTCTGGCTAATTTTTCTACTTTTTTTTTTTTTTTTTGTAGGGATGGAGTTTCACTATCGGTCAAGCTGGTCTCGAACTCCTGACCTCAAGTGATCCACCCACTTCAGCCTCCGAAATGCTGGGATTACAGGCGTGAACCACCATGCCTGGCCTTCAGCTGAATTTTCTATAGGGTTTCCGAAAGGTAAATATAGGCATGGATGCATTCTGTCTTTGAGACTCACTCTTTTAACATCCACGCCCCGCTGCAATGCTCTCACAGTGCGTCATCTGCAACTAATCCCCATTAGCTGGGATGGCTTACTTCCTATGAATTTTATATTTTAGAAATAATTCTACTTAACAGGGGTCTACCTTTTTGGTCCCCAAATATAATCTGCTCTGCCCTTTTCTTGTCATATTAATGTGAGGTGCAGGTTTTTTTTTCCTGGAACCCACTCTATGACAGTATGTATACTAAAGGCAACACAACGAACTGTGTTAAACAAGGTAGTTTCCACCAAACTTTTTTCCAGCAAAAAAAGAGATCTCGCGGTCTGCTTGTTTGAAGTCCTGGCATGCAGCACCATCTGGAGGGTAACGTCTGTGTGTTTCCTGTCAGGAAAACATTTCCAAGACAGAATGGTTTCCCAGGCTGGCTGCAAACCAGCATCATCCTGGGCACTTAAAAAATGCCAATGCCTAGGACTACTCCACATCAACCAACACCCAGATAAACTAGCACCCCATCTTCCTGGATGGGTCCCAGGCACCCGTAGCTGGTGATGGCACGGTGTGAGTTAAGGACCACCACTCTAGGACTTGAACCACAGCTGGCCTAGACCCAAATTGCCTTCAGTAGACAAGTGAGTACCTCTGGTTTTCCCCAAGGTCCAAAGTCACCTGTAAAATGCAGGTAGTACCAACGTAAACTTTAATGTATTCTCTTTATCTAGAGTAATCCCAAGGCAGTATCTAGAAATTTATCAGAACTCTGTCAAACCTCCATGCTTCCCTGGGTTTCCCAAGGCAATGGATGCAGGTTCAGCCGAGTTGACGCCCATGGAGTGGAGGCAGCCATGGAGTTAGGGGTTGGCTCTCAGGCTCTGAGCCGGCTGAGAAGCAGCGGTCTGACTGCTTCCCGTGCTGAGTACTGACTCGGCCCTCACTTCCGGTGCTTCGCTGCGCTTCCCGTGCTGAGTACTGACTCGGCCCTCCCTTCCGGTGCTTCGCTGCGCTTCCCGTGCTGAGTACTGACTTGGCTCTCGCTTCCTTCTGGTTCTTCAGGTGCACCCAGGGGCTGGCTGTGCGTTCACTGTGTGTCTCCCTCCAGCCACCTCTCCTCCCTTCTTTCCCACACACAATCTTCAGCTTCTACTGTCTTCCTGATTTAAAATATTCCATTAAAACCATTTCTGGGTGGGTGTGGTGGCTCACGCCTATAATCCCAGAACTTGGGGAGGCTGAGGCAGGTGGATCACCTGAGGTCAGGAGTTCGAGACCAGCCAGGTCAACATGGTGAAACCCTATCTCTACTGAAAAGATAAAAAGTAGCTGGGCGTGGTGGAAGGCACTCAGGAGGTGGAGGCAGGAGAATCACTTGAAGCCAGTGAGGCAAATGTTGCAGTGAGCTGAGATCACACCACTGTACTCCAGCCTGGGCAACAGAGCGAGACTCTGTCTAAAAAAAAAAAAAAAATACTGGATGTTTGATATTATAAGAAAGTTCCTTGTCACTCCAGAAAGGATTTTTTTTAAACAGTAGAATAAGGAGAGAAGTCTCATATAGCTAGTAGTGTGGATTAGAACTTTTTTTAAATAAACAAATTTTTCTTAAAAGCAGTTTCCCTTCAACATCTCTAAATCCTGAACATGGCATCTGCGATCCTGCGCCCCTGCCTGGGATACTTTCACCAAGGAGTGTTCTTGACCAGGATTTTTTCATCAAGAGAAGAAAGAACAGGACAACGTCAGAATTATAGCTGAAATGCAAACTGTCTGAAAACAAAGCCAGTCTTCCCATAGGTGTTCCAAAAGAGGAATAAACTTTGTCTCAAGATCCTACTTGCTGAGGCAGTGAAGGATAGAATTACCACCACTGTAACAAAATTTATGGAAGGCAGTAAGACCTGCAGTGACAGGCTGCAGGAGGCCTCAGTGCGGTGGCAGGGCGCCAGCAGCTCAGGACCAGACACCCGCGACTCAGAAACTGGGAGGCAGAAATTCACTTTTCCCGGGTTTCTCCACTGTTTTCCAAATAGGATTGCTGGGCGCTTTACAAAAATGACTTCTTTGTTTTCAGTTTTTGGTATTTTTTTCCTTTTCAACATCATTTTTTTTAGCTGTTATTATTTTTTTTTAACTTACTTTAACCTTTGTAGTTTTTTAATGAAAATATAGTTGAAAACTCCATCTACTCCATGTATAGATGTAGATGTCTCATACTCTGTGCTTTCTTTAAAATTTATTTTCACTTTTTTGCCTTTCAACATCATTTATTTTTTAGCTGTTATTAATTTTAATTGACAGATGATACTTGGACATTATTTGGGGAGTATGGTGTGATTCTTTGATTCATATATACAATATGTGATGACCAAATCAGGGTAGTTAGCACATCTGTCGCCTCAAATATGGATAGTTTCTTTGTACTGGAAACTTTCAAAATCCACTCTTCTAATAATAGCTATTTGAAAATACACTGTTGCTAATTACAGGCACCCTGCAGTGCTAGAGAACACCAGAGCTTATTCCTCCTGTCCAGCTGTAACATTCTGTCAACCCACCCCTCTATATCTGTACCCACGCGCTCCAGCCAAAGTGTTTCTTGCTGATTAAGCATTTGATACTGAAACCATGAAATTTAATAATACAATAAACTTACCTTTTCTACTGCTTTTTCATTAATTAACGGGCCCTGAGTAGTTCCTTCCTCAAATCCATTACCTACACGCAGGTTCTTCTTGATGGCCTCAGCAAATGCTTTTACAAAGGCATCATGGATGCCCCTTTGCACCAAGAATCGGTTTGAGCAAACACAAGTCTAGACAGGAGACAAAAACACACCCACACAGTTTGTCAGAAGCTGCCTCTTGGTGAAAACGCTTCCCCTGGTGGTTCCGTCTGCGTCTGCGTGCAACCTGCCATTTTCCCCCTCACGTGGGCTCGGCCCCAAAGATAAAAGCACTGAGTCAGCACATGCTCCTCTCCAGTTCCCTCCACAGCTGCTATGCACCTGTGATTAGATGGCAGTAAGGACCTGTATGTAAAAAAAAGAAAAAAGCCGCCCAATCCATGTTTTTTTATCCATAAAATAAATGGCGGGGTTGGTGGAGGGAAGGCGGAAGAATGCAGTTCTCCTGGGAGACTGGGATGCTGCAGCAGAGGGTAAGAGGAATACGGTCCAACACCAACTGACGTTCTTTTCTTTTTGCATACAGGGTCTCAGTCTGTTGCCCAGGCTGCAGTGCAGTAGTGGTGAGTTCACTGTAGCCTTGACCTCCAAGGCTCAAGAGATTCTTCCACCTCAGCCCCCCAAGTATGTGGGACTGTAGGCACTTGCCACCATGCCCACTTAAATTTTAAATTTTTTTGGCTGCACACGGTGGCTCATGCCTGTAATCAGCTCTTTGCGAGGCTGGTGGGTGGATCACCTGAGGTCAGGAGTTCGAGACTGGCCTGGCCAACACAGGGAAACCTGTCTCTACTAAAAACACAAAAATTAGCTGGGTGTGATGGTGCATACCTGTATCCCAGTCACTCGGGAGGCTGAGGCAGGAGGACCTCTTCAACCTGGGAGGTGGAGGTTGCAGTGAGCTGAGATTGCACCACTGCACTGCAGCCTAGGCAACAGAGGGAGACTTTGTCTTAAAAAAAAAAAAAATTTGTAGAGACAGAGTCTCACTCTGTTGCCCAGGCTGGTCTCCAACTCCTGAGCTCAAGTGATCCTCCTGCCTTGGCCTCCCAGAGTGCTGGGATTATAGCTGTGAGCCACCATACTTATCCCTAAGTTGTATGTAGCTTTATAGTGTAACTGATGGTAACACATACTGGCATTTTGTGTTTATAAAGGAAAATACACCTATTTCTGACAAAACCAAGCTTATTTAGGTTATGTGAAAGAGAAAAACTTTATTCCCAAAGGCCAAAGCAAGGATGAAAATCATCTGATAAAGAAGATCACACAACATTTCATAACTTTTTTTCCCATATAACCTTTCAGGGGTATTTATTCTGTTTCTAGAATGCATTTAAAATTGCATACTGGTGGCACCCTTACGATGAATGTTGACGCATATTTAAGAAGGCAAGATCCTAGAAGTGGAAGACAGGACCCTGGGCTCAAAGTCCCAGCTCCTCAGCAGAGTTGAGACTATGGCCCAGGGATATCTGACCTCAAGTCACTTTTTCTTTCTAGAGTTTCATTTCCTTATCTGTAAAATGCAATGTCTGTAGAGCAGATAACTGTGAAGGTCCCGGATAGATCAAATATTCCAGGATTTCCTATGAAGACATGAGCTCAGGCCTCTGTTCCCCCAGGACAGGCTGGGAAATCAGAACCCCTCAGAAACACTGCTGGCATAGGCCTGTCCCTGTGGGGCGCCTTTGATGCGCCCTCCATCTCGAGAGCGGGGCCCCGCTAGTCGTAGCAGGCAGCAGGGTTTTGAGTTTTCCCTGCCACCACCCTCCACAGTTTCTTACCTTCTTTCCCTTAACACTGTGGGCCTCAGAGACCCCAGCTGTTCAAGGCTGTTCTGTGTCTGAGCAGATGATTTTATCATTCAATAGAGAAAAGATCAATGAGAGAAAACTATAAAAATAACCAGATTCAAAGGGCAGGGGAAAGAAGAAAAGAGAGAACAATTTGACCACAGGGCATCTGCTGTTCAGAAAACTCTTTGAAGCCCGGGGCTGTGCTTTACTTTTGGGAGGCCCTCTGAGCCTCGTATAGTCCCTGGTTTAAAAAAAAAAAAGGAAGGCACACACTAAATACTTGCTGAAAGAATCAATGAATAAAGAATGAATAATGGAAGGAACCAAAAAGTTTCCTTCTGGGATATAAGGCAGCAGAGGTGGTGCGATCATTGTAATACACACACACTCTCACAAACATACACACTCACACATGCACACACAAACACACATCCTGAAATACTTCCAGGACTCACCTGTCCAGCGTTCCTAAATTTAGATGCCATTGCCCCTGCCACGGCCTGGTCCACGTTGGCACTGTCAAATACTATAAATGGAGCGAGGCCACCCAGCTCCATGGACACCCTTTTCACAGAGTTTGCTGCATGGCGTAACAGGACCTGTGACAGAGGAGAGAATGAGTGAGCACAGAAATCCGCTACCAGGACTCTTAAGCTTTTGTTTAAAAAAATTACCAAAGAGTGAAAAAAGCAAGGTGCACAGTAGTGTACATGGGATAAGTCTTTGCATAAGAAAAGGGAGAAATAAGAATACGAATTTATGTTTGTTTGTGTTTGATAAACACTGGGAAGAGGCTGGGTATGGTAGTGTGCACCTGAAATCCCAGCACTTTAAGAGGCTGAGGTGGGAGGATTACTTCAGGCCAGGGGTTCCAGACCAGCCTGGGCAACATAGTGAGACTCCAGTTCAAAAACTAACTAAATAAATAAATTAGTAAAAGAAACACTGGGATGACAAAACACTAAAAATCGTAACTTATAGAAAGGGGGAGGGAGTTAGGGCTGGGGAAAGGATGAGACTTGTCACAGTAAACATTAATACTGTCTTAATTTCTGAACCATAGAAGTAAGTGTATTATCTGTTTAAAACAATTATATGATGGGCTTAAAACTCATAGAGATAAGGTAATAAAATCACCTAGTATCCCACAGCCCATAGCTTGCACTGATAGCATTTTAAAGTATATCCATTTAGAATTTAGCCATGCAGGTTACATTTTTTTTAAATGTACATTTTATTAAAAAAAAAAACGGATAGTATAATTATATAATAATACAGTTTTGTCACCTGCTTTATCTTCCCAATGAATCATATATTTGGGACATCTATCTTAACTCATAACACTTTATGCCTTGCTTCTTTAATGTAACACTAATGTGAAGATCCTCTTGTCAGCACGTGTTTCTAGAACTTTATTTATTATTATTATTATTATTCGAAATGGAGTCTCACTCTGTCACCCAGACTGGAGTGCAATGGCACAATCTCTGGTTACTGCAGTCTCCACCTTCTGGGTTCAAGCAATTCTTCTGCCTCAGCCTCCCGAGTACCTGGGATCCCAAGCAGCTGGGATTACAGGCATGTGCCAACACACCTGGCTAATTTTTGTATTTTTATTAGGGATGGGGTTTTGCCATGTTAGCCAGGCTGGTCTTAAACTCCTGACCTCAACTGATCTGCTGCCTCGGCCTCCCAAAGTGCTGGGATTACAGGCGTGAGCCACTGTCTCCAGCCTAGAACATTCCTTTAGATGCTTGCATGGTATTCCCTTGCATGGCTGTTCTGTCATTTATGCATCCAGGCCCCAGCTGTTGCACATTTAGGTTGTTTCCATCCTTGCTGTTAAAAACAACACTGTGATTATTCCTTCAGGACGAACATTAGAATTGCTGGCTGAGTGTACAATCGTAAGGCTTTTGATACACATAGCTATTACAGTTTAAATATCCAGTAGGAGATTTCATAGCCTAAGGAGCTGCACAGGAAGGTTTAAGTGTTTTATTAAGGATAATAGGTCTTTGTCTAGTCATGGCTTCAGGAAAGATGGGACCACACTTGAGATGACTCAAGAGAAACAGGCAGTGCTGACAAGCCCAAGGTGGCTCTAGGATTGTCCCCGAAGTGATGTGCACTCTGGCGTCATGAGTATTGTGACAGGGTTCTCGTAAAAACCCAGAGTGGCTGGAAGCTGGGCCTGTGCAGGGACCCTGTCCACGCCCTTATGTTCATATTTCAGCAATCAAATGGTAGTAACAGTCTTCTCTAAAACATGACTGTTCAACAAAGTAATTCAAATTTTAAGACGAAACATATTTCTTTATTGGATGCAATGTAACTATTTTTTAAAATCTTGTTTTTTTATGTTCTTATTTGAAAAATTTTAAGAAACGTCATTGATTTTCCAGGATTTGCTTCAGTGCAAAACGATTCTCCCTGCTGGGTCACTCCCTTTTGCCTCCCCCTGGCCTTGGGCACAGGTCCTGTCTCTGGGGTCTGCCCCTCCACCTGCACTGGCTCTTGTGTCCCCTGACATCGTCCTCTCCCCGCTCAGTCTCTGCTTCTCCAGGAGGGCGGCTTGCCCTGGCCACTGGGTATGGTATGAACTCCTGTCATGTCTTAACATATCTTTTCAGCTCCAGTTCCCATGGGCTGACCTCCTCAGGGCCTCAGTTTCCAAAGACAGCATGTGATTGATTTATTGGCCTGGCCCATCTTTTTTTTTTTTTTTTTTTTTTTTGAGTTTAGGAGTAGAAGTTTAATAGGCAAAAGAAGGAGAAAAATGGAAAACAGCTCTCTCTCTAGTGAAGGAGAGGGGACTTCCGAGAGGAAACGGCCCTGGCCCCGCCCACTTTCTATGCCAGGGTACTTGTCCCAGGTCACCAGCCAGCCACGATTTCTGTTTCGCCCAAGTCAATGGCCACTCACGGTTCAGTTCTCTGAACAGGGGAAGAAATGGGGTATCAGATGCTTTACAACATGGCTGCTGTCCTCTCAGTGGGGCCTTTCGAGGGGCGGCCCCCCTTAGCAAGGGGCAAGGGCAGGATAGGCATCCCTAGAACAGGCTCGCTGTGTGCACCTGAGTTACAAGGCAAGGTTCTACCCCCCAGGACCAGGCGCTCAGCTGCTGATCTCTGCGAAGCCCAGCCCGGCAGAGGCGCTGGCTGCATGCGTTAGTTATCCTTTTAGCTATACTTGTCATGTTTCCCACTCAGTCACTTGAGGTGCATCACTGTCCTGGGTTAAGAGGAGTAAAGCCGTACTTGGCAGGGTCACGGGTGGTATTTCCTGGAGCCCTGTTAAATAAGGATAGTTTGCTGAGAAAACTGAGAGAAAGCAATGGATGGCTTGCTCCCCTTTGCCTGGCACCCTGAGAATTTCTCTGGCTTGAATGACGAAGGATTTACAACCCTTTATCCCAGGCTTCCTCTTTTTTTCTAACTACTTGGTAGTAACATTTGAATCCTTCTATGGGTAAGTTTGCATTGTAAGAACCACTGATCAAGGGTAGCAGTTTATAGATCTAAAAATTCCTTTCTTTTCTCATATATATATATACATATATACATATACATATATACATATACATATATATATATACACATATATATATATACATATATATATATACACATATATATATATACACACATATATATATACACATATATATATATATAAGAACTTATATTTTAAAACATAAATAAATATAAAAATATATTTTTTTTTTTTTTTTTTTTTTTTTTTAGGCAAAGTCTTGCTCTGTCATCAGGCTGGAGTGCAGTGGCGTGATCTTGGCTCACTGCAACCTCTGACTCCCTGGCTCAAGCGATTCTCCTGCCTTAGCCTCCCGAATAGCTGGGATTACAGGCACGCGCCACCATGCCCAGCTAATTTTTGTATTTTTAGTAGAGACAGGGTTTCTCCATGTTGGCCAGGATCGTCTCGATTTTCTGATCTCGTGATCCACCCGCCTTGGCCTCCCAAAGTGCTGGGATTACAGGTGTGAGCCACCATGCCCGGCTAAATATTCCTATTTCTAATATTAATGAATGGTAGGATTCCAAAGCACTTCTCCCTGAGTATGAGTTTATGGCATAACAAAAGTGATTATGGTTGGGAGCCATTAAAATTACATTATTCCAGCCAGGTATGCTGGCCCACACCTGTAATCCCAGGACTTTTGGAGGTCGAGGAAGGAGGATCACTTGAGGCCAGGAGTTCCAGACCAGCCTGGCCAACATGGCGAAACCTCATCTCTACAGAAAATACAAAAATTAGCCAGGCGTAGTGGCACAGGTCTGTAATCGTGGCTATTCAAGAGGCTGAGGCACAAGAATCATTTGAACCCAGGAAGCGGAGGTTACAGTGAGACAAGAACACACCACTGCAGTCCCGCCTAGGCGACAGGCCAACTGTCTCCAAAAAAAAAATTACATTATTCCTTCCTGCTTCTCATGGTTTCTAAAATGACCATAGATTCACAAGAGCTTTGAAATTAGACTTTTTAATTTTTATTATTTTTTGACATGGGGTCTCACACATATTGCCTAGGCTGGAGTGCAGTGGTGAGATCATGACTCACTGCAGCCTTGACCTCACAGGCTCAAGTGATCCTCTCACCTCAGCCTCCCAAGTAGCTGGGAGTGCAGGTGTGTGCCACCAAGCCTGGTTGTTCTGTTTTGTTGTGTAGAGACAAGGCTTCACCATGTTGCCTAGGTTGGTCTCAACCTCCTTGGGCTCAAGCGATCCTCTTGCCTTGGCCGAATAGTATGAGTAGACACGTATATGTGGATGTGTACATATAAACCAGTAGAAAAAAAGCACACCTTCTGAAGAGAAACACCATAAACAAAAACTTTTGTTCTACTTTGATTTTTTTCTCTTTTGGACATTTAAAAGGATAAATGAATATCTACTTAATAGGTACACATGTTAATTTTTCAGGAAAGAACATTTTATTATGGCTGGGCGCGGTGGCTCACGCCTGTAATCCTAGCACTGTGGGAGGCTGAGGTAGATGGATCACCTGAGGTCAGAAGTTCAAGACCAGCCTGGCCATCATGGTGAAACCCCATCTTTATTAAAAAAAAAACAAAACACTTTATTACTTAAGGGGGAAAAAACCTCAAAGAAAAAGAGCTTTCCATTTCTCTAAGTACATTCAGACTAAACACAATTTTTGTTCAATTCAGAAACATCCATTTCAACATTAATTGTGTGTTTCTAGAATCTCTAATTCTAGATTATTAAAAGAAACATGCATTCTAGAATTGAAAAAAATGCAGTGGAGAACTTTCAGTCACTTCACATACAACAAATAATGCAAACATAATGGGACCATCACTGCCCCAGTTTCTTTGGTCTTCGTCAAGCGGGAACCTATGTCATGCCATAAAGAACTGTCAAAAATGTCTCCAGAGGATGGTCAGATATTGCTTTATTCAACCAACAGACCTTTTTGTTTTTGAGAGTCTTGCTCTGTCACTCAGTCTAAAGTGCATTGGTGCAAACTCGGCTCACTGCAACCTCTGCCTCCTGGGTTCAAGTGATTCTCATGCCTCAGCCACCTGAGTACCTGGGATTACAGGTGCGCACCACCATGCCTGGTTAATTTTTGTATGTTCTGTAGAGACGGGGTTTCACCATGTTGGCCAGACTGGTCTTGAACTCCCGGCCTCTAGTGATCTGCCCACTTCAGCCTCCCAAAGTGCTGGAATTACAGGTGTGAGCCACCATGCCTGGCTTGCAATAGAGCTTTTAATACTCTGCTGGAAATCTTTCCAAAATTGGTGATCAGAATGAAATAGTACTTTTGTAACCTATCAAGATAAAATATTAGAAAGACATTTGTTTTCTTTGAGACTTGAGTCACATACCTTTCCTGTAGTTGTTGAACCAGTAAAGGAAATTTTGGACACCAGAGGATCCGTACAAATCACCTCCCCTACTTCCGCGGCATTCTTTCGAGAGCAGGGAATGACATTGTAGACTCCCGGAGGAATTCCAGCCTGGCTTGCAAGCTATAAAGAGAAACAGTAAACATATGGCAACAATTTATCAAACTGAAAAAAAAAAATAAAAAAGGAATAAATAGATGTTTAATCCAAAAAGTAATGGAAAAAAAATTAAGCTGACACTGGGGACAGAGTAAGAATATATTTGGAACGTAGATATGATTCTTATTAGTGCTAAAGTCACATTAATATTAATATGTTGTTAAACATCATTACAGTAAAATTTCTACCAGGCTCGATGGCTCGCGTCTGTAATCCCAGCACTTGTGGAGGCAGAGGTGGGAGGATCACTTGAACCCTGGAGGGTGAGGTTACAGTGAGCTAAGATCACATCACTGCACTCCAGCCTGGGAAACAGAGCAAGAACCTGTCTCCAAAAAAAAAAAAAAAAAATTCCTGGAGTATAAGTTTCTTTCTTTCTTTTTTTCTGGAGACGGAGTCTTGCTCTGTCACCTACACTAGAGTGCATTGGCACAATCTCCACTCATTGCAACTTCCGCCTCCCAGATTCAAGTGACTCTCCTGCCTCAGTCTTCCCAGTAGCTAGGATTACAGGTATGCACCGGCTAATTTTTGTAGTTTTAGTAGAGACAGGGTTTCACCATGTTAGCCAGGCTTGTCTTGAACTCCTGACCTCAAGTGATCTGCCCACTTCAGCCTCCCAAAGTGCTAGGATTACAGGTGTGAGCCACCGCGCCTGGCCAGAGCATAAATTTCAATACTGTCTTCTGTTCAAACAAACAAACAAACAAATAAAAAGCCCTGAATTTCTATCCTGAGAAAAATCAGAAAAGATGCCAAACAAAAAGTTATCTGAATCACCTGTAGAATCAAGGGCGGGAAAGTGGAAAGGGGCATTCAGTGAGCACATACTAGGTGCAGGGCAGCAGGGCAAAGCCTTTCCAAAGGTGATTTCCCAGGGAAGCGATGAAGAAAGGAGGCACAGCAGAGAAGAGTCCAGCCAATGCCACATGCTAGTGAGTAACAGAACACGCGTGCAAACCCACAGCTGCCTGAGCCGGACACTCATGCTCTTTCGGTAGAGATTCCCTTTGGATAAGGCATATCCTGAATTATTTTAATTTCCAGATTCCATTAACACTTAGCTTATTACGTAAATCTGACTGGAGATTCTGGGAGGACAGTGGTAACAGCAGAGTTTGTGAACCGCCCTCAATGTCATCATGAAAATAGCACTTAGCAAACCCAAAATCTCAGAGACATTCACAAGACAATTATAACAGACATTTACAACAAGATGAGATGGCAAGGTGTCTCCACAATAAACCACAAGTTACAGGTGGGTGAGAATACACCACCTGCGTTGACAAGACCTGAGTGTCCTATTGGCACCTGTGTAAGAGGAAGCAGGGGGCAGCAACAGGCCATGTGATGTACCCCATAACCGAGAACCCCAAATAGTCCACAGCTGTTCCATCTGAGGACAGCAGCTGTAAGTGAACGGGTCTTGCCTTATCAATGGCAGGTGAATACGTGGGACGCTGCAGGAAGGACTGAAGGGCAGTCCTGGAACCATGTGAAGAAGGGCGAGGAGGCGCCGATACAGGCAGGGGAAGGAGGCTCAGGAAGCAAGCTGCCTTATCTCTTCTCGACACACAAGGAAGCAGAAGGTACTCTGTGAAGGTAAAGAAGCTATTTCTAACGGGGCCTTCTTCCAGAAGTTCAAGAAAACGAACTTCACATAAAAATAAACAAAATTCTGAGAAAGCATTGAGGTCAAATCCCATACAAAATTGTTAAAAGAAAAAAGAAGCTAGGTGTGGTGGCTTATGCTTGAAACCCCAGCACTTTGAGAGGCCAAGGTAGGAGGATCACGTGAGCCCAGAAGTTCTAGACCAGCCTGGGCAACACAGTGAGACCCTATCTCTACAAAAAATAAAAAACAACATTAGCTGGGTGTGGTGGTGCACACCTGTGAGATATGGCAAGGGTTCTCTTCAAACCGCCTGCTCTTTGTTCTTTAATCCAAGTACCCCCGCACCTTCTATTCTCCTGTTCTTCTATGTTACCACACGCCCAGCCATGCCACAGCCCCAGCTCACATTCCTTTCCTTATCTGAGAAAGGACTGGCTCTCTAGTTCACTGCAGATGACCCCTTCCTCCTCTCCCCTCTCTCCGATCATGCGTCCACCTTATCTAAGAAAGTTTAACTGTTTAGCCAACCAGGCCTTGTTTAGATTGTGTGGTCCAACCCTTGACAAAAGAGGAAAGACACAGAAGCGGATGCCACATTACAGATAATTGAAAACCCCTGCTTCCTTTTGTTCTGTATGCTCTTGCCATTGCTCCATGCAAGATGCACCCTTCTGCAGAAGTAAATTTGCTTTGCTGAGAAATGTTTTGTCTGAGTGCTCACTTTTTCTTATGACACAGCTTTATTTCTAACAACACCTGTGATCCCAGCTACTCGGGAGGCTGAGGCAGGAGAACTGCTTGAGCTTTCGAGGTTGAGGATGCAGTGAACTGTGTTCACACCACTGCACTCTGGCCTGGGTGACAGAGTGAGACCCTGTCTCAAGAAAAAAATAAGAAGAAGAAGAAGTAGAATAATATCCCTATAGACAACAAAAGCATATCAGAAAGACATGCCTACAAAACAGACCCAAACTGGGCTGGGCATAGTGGCTCATGCTTGTAATCCCGGCACTTTGGGAGGCCAAGGTGGGTGGATTGCTTGAGGTCAGGAGTTCAAGACCAGCCTGGCCAACCTGGTGAAACCTCCTCTCTACTAAAAATACAAAAAAAAATTAGCTGGGCATGGTGGCGCATGCCTGGAATCCCAGCTACTCGGGAGGCTGAGGCAGGAGAATTGCCTGAACCCAGGAGGCGGAGGTTGCGGTGAGCCGAGATTGCGCCATTGCACTCCAGCCTGGGTAACAAGAGCGAAACTCCGACTTAAAAAAAAAACAAAACCCAGACCCAAACCGTAACTTACAATTTCAAAACAAGGAAAAAGATGACAAGAAAATTATACCAAGACCCAAAAGAACAACCAACATGAACTGTAGCCAGAAAACTTTGGAAATGAGGTGAAGGAATACAGGAAAGAATCAATTTAGTAATGGGGGACTTGAATACTCCACTGACAGCACTAGACAGGTCATCAAAACAGAAAGGTAACAGAGAAACACTGGACTTAAACTATACCCTGGAACAAATGGACTTGGCAGATATTTATAGAAGACTTTACCCAATAACTGCAGAATATACATTCTATTTATTAGCGCATGGAACTTTCCCCAAGATAGACCATATCAAGCCTCAATAAATTTAAGAAGATTTATTGAAGAATTTAAGAAGATGGAAATTACATCAAGCACTCTCTCAGACCACAGTGGAATAAAGCTGGAAATCAACTCCAAAAGGAACCTTCAAAACCATGCAAATACATGGAAATTAAATAACTTTCTTCTGAATGATCATTAGGTCAAAAATGAAATCAAGATGGAAATTAAAAAATTCTTTGAACTGAATGAACAGTGGCACAACCTATCAAAACCTCTGGGATACAGCAAAGGCGATGCCAAGAGCCAAGTTCATAGCCCTAAATGCTGACAATCAAAAAGTCTGAAAGAGCATAAACAGATAATCACAGGCCACACCTCAAGGAACTAGAGAAACGAGAACAAACCAAACCCAAACCCAGAAGAAGAAAGGAAATAACCAAGATCAGAGCAGAACTAAATGAAATAGAAACAAACAATACAAAAGATAAATGAAACAAAAGCTGATTCTTTGAAGAGACAAATAAAACTGATAGAACATTAATTAGCAAGATTAACCCAGAAGAGAAGAGAGAAAATCCAAATAAGCTCAACTAGAAATGAAATGGAAGATATTACAACTGGTACCACAGAAGTACAAAAGATCATCCAAGGCTACTATGAACACTGTCACATGCATAAACTAGAAAACATAGAGGAGATGGATAAATTCCAGGACACATACAACCCTCCTAGCTTAAATCAGGAAGAATGAGATACCCTGAACAGACCAATAAGAAGTAGGAAGATTGAAATGGTAATAAAAAATTAGCAACAAAAAAAGTTCAGGACCAGATGGATTCACAGCAGAATTCTATCAGCCATTTAAAGAAGAATTGATACCAATCCTATTAACACTATTCTACAAGATAGAGAAAGTGGGAACCCTCCCTTAATCATTCTATGAAGCCAGTATCACCCTAATACCAAAACCAGGAAAGGACATAACCCAAAAGAAAAATTACAGACCGTATCTCTGATGAACACAGATGCAAAAATCCTTAACAAAATACTAGCTAACCAAATCCAAGAACATATCAAAAAGATGATCAAGTGGGTTTCATACCAAGAATGCAGGGATAGTTTAACATAAGCAAGTCAATAAATGTGATATACCACATAACCAGAATTGAAAACAAAAATCATATGATCATCTCAATAGATGCAGAAAAGCATTCAACAACATCCAGCATCGCTTTAGGATTAAAACTCTCAGCAAAACAGACGTACCTCAATGTAATATAAGCCATCTATAATAAACCTACAGACGACATAATGCTGAATAGGGAGAAGTTGAAAGCATTCCCTTTGAGAACTGTAACAAGAAGACAAGGGTGCCCCCTCCCACCACTTCTCCTCAACATAGTACTGGAAGTCCTAGCCAGAGCAATCAGACAAGAGAAAGAAAGAAAGGGCATCCAAATCAGCAAAGTGAAACTGCCCCTTTTGTTGATAATATGATTGTTTGTTGATAATATGATTGTTTACCTAGAAAACCCTAAACACCTCTCCAGGAAGCTCCTAGAACTGATAAAAGAATTCAGTAAAGTTTCCAGATACAAAGTTAAGGTACACAAATCAGTAGCTGTTCTATACACCAACAGCAACCAGGCTGAGAAATCAAGAATTCAACCTCTTTTATAACAGCTGCAAAAATATATTTGTATAAAATACTTAGGAATATATCTAACTAAGGAGGTGAAAGACCTCTACAAGGAAAACTATAAAACACTGCTGGAAGAAATCATAGGTGACACAAACAAATGGAAATACATCCCCTGCTTGTGGGTGGATAGAATCAATATTGTGAAAACGACCATTTGCCAAAAGCAATCTATAAATTCAATGCAATTCCCATCAAAATACCTTTGTCATTCTTCACAGAACTAGAAAAAACAATCCTGGCCGGGCGTGGTGGCTCACGCCTGTAATCCAAGCAGTTTGGTGGCCAAGGCGGGCAGATCACCTGAGGTCAGGAGGTCAAGACCACCTGACCAACATGGTGAAATCCCGTCTTAAAAAAAAAAAAAAAATCCTAAAATTTATATGGAACCAAAAAAGAGCCTGCATAGCCAAAGCAAGACTAAACAAAAAGAATAAATCTGAAGGCATTACATTACCTGATTTCAAATTATACTATAAGACCATAATCACCAAAACAGCATGCTATTGGCATAAAATAGGCAGACAGACCAATGGAACAGAATAGGACCAGAAATAAAGCCAAATACTTAAAGGCAACTGATCTTTGACAAAGCAAACAAAAACATAAAGCGGGAAAAGGACACCCTATTCAACAAATGGTGCTGGGATAATTGGCTAGCCACATGTAGAAGAATAAAACTGGATCCTCATCTCTCACCTTAGACAAAAATAAACTCAAGATGAATCAAGGACTTAGATCTAAGACCTAAAACTATAAAAATTCTAGAAGATAACATTGGAAAAACCCTTCTAGACATGGGTCTTGGCAAGGATTTCATGACCAAGAGCCCAAAAGCAAATAAAACCAAAACAAAGACAAATAGCTGGGACTTAATTAAACTAAAGAGCTTTTGCATGGCAAATGGAGCAGTCAACAGAGTAAATAGACAACCCACAGAGCAGGAGAAAGTCTTCACAATCTATGTATCTGACAAAGGACTAATATCCAGAATCTGCAATGAACTCAAACAAATTAGCAAGAAAAAAAACCAACAATACCGTAAAAAAGTGGGCTAAGGACATGAATAGACAATTCTCAAAAGAAGATATACAAATGGCCAACAAATACATGAAAAATAGCTCAACATCAGTAATGATGAAGGAAATGCAAATAAAAACCACAATGTAATACTACGTTACTCCTACAAGGTTGGTCATAGTAAAAAAATCAAAAAATTATAGATGTTGGCGTGGATGTGGTGAACAGGGAACATTTCTACATTGCTGGTGGGAATATAAACTAGTACAAACACTAAGGAAAATATTGTGGAGATTCCTTAAAGAACTAAAAGTAGAACTAATATTTGATCGAGCAATCCAACTACTGGGTATCTACCCAGAGGAAAATAAATCATTATACGAAAAAGATACTTGTACACTCATGTTTATAGCAGCACAATTCACAATTGCAAAACCATGGAACCAACCCAAATGCCCATCAATCAACAAGTGGATAAAGCGCATCCTATGCGGTTTATACATAGGATGTAAAACTACTCAGCCATAAGAAGGAATAAAGTAATGGTATCTGCAGTGACCTGGATGAGACTGGAGACTATTATTCTAAGTGAAGTAACTCAGGAATGGAAAACTAAATGTCATATGTTCTCACTCATAAGTGGGAGCTAAGCCGTGAGGAAGCAAAGGCATAAGAATCACACAATGGACTTTGGGGACTCAGGGGGCAAGGGTGGGATGGGAGTGAGGGATAAAAGACTATAAATTGTGTGCAGTGTCTACTGCTCAGGTGATGGGTGTAGCAAAAGCTCACAAATCACCACTAAAGAACTTAATCATGTAACCAAATACCTGTTCCCCAATAACCTATGAAACAAAAATTAAAAAATAAAATCACATATTTTGTACCCAGGGGAAAAAAATTTTTTTTTAATTAGGGAAAAGATGAAAAAGATACAAGAGAAAGTGACAAAAAAGATTCAACTCATGGATAATATGAGTTCCTAAAGGATAAAACCAAACCAATGAAGAACAAGTCCCAAAAACTTTATAGAGATATAAAACAAAAAGGCTGGAAACTCCATACTCAAAGAGCACACTGCATACCTGCAGTATGGACTCAAAGCAATCATCAGAAAGACATATTCTAGTGACATTACTGGTCTTTAAAGACAAAGGGGAAAAAAATCCAACCAAACACTTTTGTGTATCTAGGCAAAAATGAAACAAGTTGACTCACAAGGGCAAGAAACTTAGATTACCATTTGAATTTTCAAGAGCAACACTTTATATCAGAAGAAAATGGAGAATATATTTAAGATAATCAAGTAAAAAAAAATCTAAGCCAAAAATTGTATACCCAGCAAAACTGCTTTATAAGCACATTGGGCACAGACTCCTGTGAACATTTAAGCAGGGGAACTATCACTCCCATGAGCCCTTCCTGAGGAATCTACTACAGAATGGGGTTCAGAGAGACACTGTAAGCACTTGTGGTGAGCACATACAGCTGCTTATTGGACTAAGTCTAAAGGAGTGTTAAACTGGAGAGAATAGAGCACGTCATGGCTGTAGTCTTGGCAGTGCAGATACAGTGTAACTATTTTAAAATACAGAGAAATGCTCATAGCCAAGAGGGGTTAAGGAGATAAGACAACTAAATGTAATGTGATATCCTGGACCAGATCCTGAAACAGAAAAAGGAGACTAGGTACAGACTAATAAAATCTGAGAATGGATTTTAAAGTATGGACTTTAGTTAATAACAGTGTATCACTATTGGTTGATTAATTGCAACAAATATACCATCCTAATGTACCTAATAGGAGAAACTGAGTGTGGGGTATGTGGGAAATACCCGTCTGCAATTTTTCTGTAAATGTAAAACATTCTAAAATAAGAATTTATTACTAATAATGAGAATGGAAAGAGAGCCGGGCGCGGTGGCTCAAGCCTGTAATCCCAGCACTTTGGGAGGCCGAGGCGGGTGGATCACGAGGTCAAGAGATCAAGACCATCCTGGTCAACACAGTGAAACCCCGTCTCTACTAAAAAAATAAAAAATACAAAACATTAGCTGGGCATGGTGGCGCGTGCCTGTAATCCCAGCTACTCAGGAGGCTGAGGCAGGAGAATTGCCTGAACCCAGGAGGCGGACGTTGCGGTGAGCCGAGATCGCGCCATTGCACTCCAGCCTGGGTAACAAGAGCGAAACTGTGTCCCAAAAAAAAAAAAAAAAAAAGAGAAAATACCAAAAAGTAAACCATTTTCAATAGGCACATTGGTGATGATGTTAAAATTAATATTTTTAAAAACCCCAAATAAAATTAATACTCAAAAGCTGTTGTTCTATGTAATTAGCATATATGGAATATTAATTCAGTCATTCCCTGAGTTCTTAGAAACCAGGAAAGAAGGAGATGCAGATATAAAAGAAGTTAAGTAAAAACTCTATAGAACTGAATTTGAATTGGAAGTTTCTGTAGGAATTTCTGCAGCATTGTATTGTGTGTGTGCCTGTGTGTACATAAAAATGTGTATCTCCTAGCTCTGCCCATTGAAAAGACCTATAAAAAGTGACAGAGTAGGTGGTTTTAGGTGTTAAGGGGAAAAAAGCAAAGCAGAGATGGGGATCAGGAGCATCAGAGTGTGAGGTTGTGATTTTTTTTTGCGACAGAGCCTCTCTCTGTCACCCGGGCTGGAGTGCAGTGACACGATCTCAGCTCACTACAACCTCTGCCTCCCAGGTTCAAGTGATTCTCCTGCCTCAGCCTCCTGAGTAGCTGGAATTACAGGCATGTGCCACTATGCTCGGCTAATTTTTGTATTTTTAGGAGGGACAGGGTTTCACCATGCTGGCCTGGCTGGTCTCGGACTCCTGACCTCAAGTGCTCTGCCCGCCTTGGCCTCCCAGTTCTGGGATTACACGCGTAAGCCACCACGCCCAGCCAAGTTGTGATTTTTAGACAGAGCGGCCATGGAAGGCCTCCCTGGGAGGGTGGCATTTGAATAAAGACGTGAAGAAGGAAGTCATGTGGGTATCTGGGGAAGAGCGCTTCAGACAGGGAACGTATACAGTCTGAGTGCAGGGCAAGTCTGGCGGGGTCTGGGGAGTGACAGGGGCCAGAGTGTTCCAAGCAGATGAATGAAGAGTGAGGGGCTCCAGAGTGATGGACGAGGTCAGAGGCATACTGGGGGTTGGGAAGAGACATCTTATAGGACCTTGAAAGCCACTAGGGAATCTGAACTTTATTCTGAATGACACAAGAAGCCACTTGAGGTTTTCAAACAAGAGAGTAAGATCTCATGGCATACAGATTGACCCGGGAATGGGAATGATAAATTAGTTCCTTAAATGTGAGAAACATCCACATTTAAGTGCCTATTTAATGAAGATGATGGATACCATTTCTACAGTAGGCAGAAAATACATGTCCTGCAGATGCCAGAAAATCCCCCATCCATTTCTTCCTCCAAAAGAGCTACAGCTGACTTAAAATAATTGCCAGTAGATGAAAACACAACATCGTGTATCAGGAGACAAAGGAAAGAAGCAGGCTCCAAAACTGCTTCCTTCCGTCCCAGATAAACATCAAGTTTTGGGCTTTGTCTGCTTTGTGCACACACGGGGAGCAGCTCACCTCAGCCAGGGCCAGCGCGGAGAAGGGCGTGTCTTCAGCGGGCTTCACCACCACTGTGCAGCCAGCTGCCAGGGCAGCCCCCACCTTCCGGGTGATCATGGCACTGGGGAAATTCCACTGGGGTTAGAAGAGCAGAGGAACTATATGAGAGGAAGGACTGCCTCGTTAGTGCAAAGGAAGGCAGGTTAGGAAGTCAGTGAATAAATTCCATTGCACGACTGACTGACACACCTGTTTGGCTGCACAGGCGAGCTCTCAGAACACCTGGCCCCTGCCAACTTGAGGGACTCTAGATAAAGTATCATGAAGACAGAAAATATTTTTAGATTTTAACACAGTAAAAAATGAGTTAGACCAGGTGTCAGCCAACTTTTTCTGTGAATGGCCAGATCATAAATTTTTTAGGCCTTGTAGAATGTATGGTTTCTATGGCAACTACTCAACTCTGCAGCTGCATTGTGAAAACAGCCACAGACAGTAGGTATATAAATGGGTGTGGCTCTGTCCCAATAAAACTTTATTTACAAACATAGGCAGTGGGCTGGATTTGGCCTGAGGCACATGGGAGAAAATATTAGCAATGGTTTTGAAAAGGGCAGATGATCACTTCCTTCCACATACATATTTATAGATGCCTACAGACTTACCTGTAACAACAATATTTTATTTTATTTTGAAAAACTCTTACATAGTGCTTACTGTGTAGCAGGTTATTTTTCTACGTACTTAAAAAATTAAAATTAATTAAATCCTTATCACAACCCAATGAAGTTGATATTAACCTCATTTGCAAGTTCAGGAAAACTGAGACAGTGCAGTTAAATAATTTGAACAAGGTCTCATAGCTGGTAAATAGTGACCTTTGAGTCAAACTGAGTCAGTCTAGGCATCAGGGAGATTCTGTCTGTAACTATGCTGAGCAGGAAACACACAGGCATCTTGAGACCAGCTGACAGATACAGGAGAGAAGTTAATAGGACCTAGCAGAAGGCAGGACCGAGAGGGAAAGTAGGCGTGTCACAAATATACTGCAGCCCCACCTGGCAGAGGCGATACCTCACTTCTTAGCCTTTTTACCTGTAGAACCTGGCCCACTGCCTGCTGGTGGGTCCACAAATGCTTTGCTGTTGATGATAACCACCAATTAAACAAAAAAACTTTTTCCCGAACTTTTAAAATGTATCATATCGTAAGTCTTTTTAAAAATGACAAATACCAGAAGATCTTTTCAGAGGTGCTTGGCAATGCCAGGAAGCCGCCTCCATGCCAAGTCGGAAGAGCCCCAGGTCCTCCTGTGGCTCTTCTCACTTCTGCAGCATTAGAAATGCCTCCTTCCGCTCAGCGCCACCACACCTAACGTTATCACAGAGGGCCAGGAAACACACTTCCACATCCAGCAAAAGCATCAGGAAACCAGGAACAGGTGACAAAGCTAACAGGGTGAGGACACCTGCTCAAGAGGAAGTATGAATTGTTTCCCAACTCCCTATCCCATCTCCCACACTAGGATCTTGCTGATCCCGTCACCTACCGGGGTGATGACTGCGGCCACACCTACGGGCTGCTTGAGGACCAGGGCCCGCTTGTCCCTTGCCGAGGTGTAGATAATGTCTCCATAAACACGGCGTGCTTCCTCTGAGAACCACTCTAGGAACAGGGCGGAATAGAGAATTTCCCCCTGTGCCTCCTTCAGTGGCTTTCCCTAAATCAGATCAGAGAAGAACCCACATATCACCTTCTAATATTAAAAGCATGGCTCTGTGCTCCTATAATGACACCCACACAATGGGGGCATTTCTGACTCTGGTGTGAGTTTTAGAAAGTAGAATTACAATGCCGAATATATGCATGGTTGTATCACCCTAAACCACCAGAGTGATCTGCATTCCTAATTGTTTACGAATTAGGAAACATGTAATTTTTTCTTCCTTTCAATATCTCCTAAGTATTGTAACCATGATATGAAATAATTTATTATATCTATGGAAGAAATATTGGTACATTAAAAATATACAAAAACAATATTAAAAAAATGGTAACAGGAAAAAATCAGAATGGTGAAACAGCACTTATTCATATAGTTCCAAACAAAATCTATTTTTGGATACTATTAAAGAATAAACAAGAACGTACAAATTTTATTTTAGCAAATCTATGTACCCTGGCACAATAACGATTTGGTATTTGATTAGTAGCAAAGGAATCACATGTTTTTTAGCCAGCAGTGATGGGAAGTCAGTGCCTTTTCCAAGTTTAGTCTCAGAATCCCTGGACAATTTCTCAGCGCACCAAGCCAGGACCCCGGACTTACACTTTCAGCTGTGATTATTTTGGCAAGGTCATCCTTATTTTTTATCATTAAATCGTACCACTTCCGAAGTAATGAACTCCTCTCCTGCAAAAGAAATAAAGCAGAAAACAAATAACATGCCAAGTATAAGACAGAATGGCAATTAAAATTCAATATCCTAACATATTAGCTGTATGGTCTCATTCTCCTTGGCTGTGAGGGTTAATTTTATGTATAAATTTGACTGGGCTCAAGGAGGCCCAGATAACTGGTAAAACATTATTTCTGGGTGTGTGTGAGAGTTTTCAGAAGAAATTAGCATTTGAATCAGTAGACTGAATAAAGATTTGCCTTCACAAATTCAGCGGGGCACCATCCAATCTGCTGAGGACCTGAAAAGGACAAAGTGGCAGAGGACGGGCAAAGTCACTCCCCTGCATGAGCTAGGACATCCATTTCCTGTTATCAGACACCAGACACTGGCATTACCGGTACTCAGGCCTTTGGACCCAGTTGGAACTCAGACTGGACCTATCAGCTTTCTTAGGTATCCAGTTTGCAGACAGCAGAGGGTGGGACATCTTAGCATCCACAGTCAAATGAGCCAGTCCTTTACAAGAAGTCTCTTCCTGTATTCCTATACATCTGTGATTCCACTTGTATATACATAACACTGGTTCTCATAGCGCGTTGCTTCTATTTTTCTGAACAACCCTGGGTAAGACGCCGAAGGAAACATACACTGACCTGGTTTTTTCTTTCAGACAGGTCTGGGTTTGGACAATGGGAAGCACACAAATTTAAAAAATTAAAAACATTTTTAAAGAGAGACAGGGTTTTGCTCTGTCACCCAGGCTGGAGTGCAGCTGTGTGACCACAGCCCACTGCAACTTCTGCTCCCTTGGCTCAAGTGATCCCCAGCTCCGCTGACTGAGTAGCTGGGACTACAGGCACACACCACCATGCTCAAATTGTTTTCTTTCAACTCATTTGCATGTGTTACAACTTTAAGCAGAATGTGACCTGGGCACTACCTTTACCCCTACAAGACTGGCTCTGAGTTATTTGTGAACAGCTTTATGATATGCTTATGTAGGCTTGTAACTTTGCTCCTCCAAACAACACTTTTCTTTGGAAAACAAGCCCTGTGGAGAGTTCCTTCCATCACGTTGCTTCAGTTTTAACCTGTTTCTAGGTGACTAGTACATGCGGAACTGGCAACTACAGGGGATGAAAAGTTCAAAAAGTAGATCCGACGAGACGTAACAAATACTTTTCTTCTTTTTTTTTTTTTTTTTTTTTTTTTTGAGACGGAGTTTCGCTCGTTACCCAGGCTGGAGTGCAATGGCGCGATCTCGGCTCACCGCAACCTCCGCCTCCTGGGTTCAGGCAATTCTCCTGCCTCAGCCTCCTGAGTAGCTGGGATTACAGGCACGTGCCACCATGCCCAGCTAATTTTTTGTATTTTTAGTAGAGACGGGGTTTCACCATGTTGACCAGGATGGTCTCGATCTCTTGACCTCGTGATCCACCCACCTCAGCCTCCCAAAGTGCTGGGATTACAGGCGTGAGCCACCGCGCCCGGCCCAAATACTTTTCTTCTAAACAACAAGGTATAGCTGGGGAACGCTTTGAGAACAAGATTTGGTCTACTAAGGAATCCGGCGTGAGAGCTAAACACTTTAGATCACAAAGTTAACATCATGCTACATACGTCTTACTACGATCACCTCTGTCTGTTAAAATAAGCCAGTGTGAAACTATAAAAGCATTACTAGCCCTGCTTTAGTGCCTCAGGTATCACAGCATCACTTAGAAGCAGAAAGAAATCTCATCTTCCCCTTAAAGCAGCTGTTGTCATGCCATACAGACTATTCATGCTAACAGGATCTACAGGATGATCAAGCTCAGCTAATTAAAATTTTTTTGTATTGACCAGGTCCCACTATATTGCTCATACTAACTGACCCTTCTCTGATACGTAGTAGAGATCCAATTTCAAGTTACATCTAAAGAGGTACAGTGAGTCACAAATTAAAAAAAGAGAAAAGTTTTGTGGAAACAGCTAGTATTGCTTATGATAAATAAAAACGACTCTCATTTTACCATACAAATGCATAGTTCCCTACTTTATTATTTTATACAGGGTGTTGATCTGATGCCCAGGCAGGGGGGTAGTGGCACAAGCATAGCTCATCGCGACCTCAGACTGCGGGCTCTCAGCGATGCCAATGCCTCGGCCTCCCGAAGGGCTAAGATGAAAATTGTGAGCCACCAGGCCTGGCCCGTTCTACTTTCAACTCTAGGTACCTCATATCAGTACAATCATACAGCATTTGCCTTTTTGCGACTGGTTTATTTCACTCAGCATACTGTCTTCAAGTATTGTTCCCTATTATAGTGGCTCGCTGGTAAGCTGGATTTGTCCCATAGACTGACATGAGGACTGGGGCATGCGTGAGGCATACAAAAGGGCTTTATGTACTTAAGAAGAGGGCCCAGGCTCAACAACAGGAATGCACCGAATACCACTGAAATGCACATTTAAAAATGGCTGAAATGGTAAATGTTAGGCATATTTTACCATAATTTAAAAAATTCCAATGAACAAAAAAAACAGATGAAGGGATACATTAGATTGTTAACAACGTTATAGGACCAGGTGTGGTGGCTCATTCCCATAATCCCAACACTTGGGAAGGCCAAGGAGGGAGGGTTGCTTGTGGCCAGGAGTTTTGACACCAGCTTGGGCAATGCAGTGACACCCCTTCTCTAAACACACACACACACACACACACTAGCTGGGTGTGGCGGCGCATACCTGTGGTCCCAGCTACTCAGGAGACTGAGGTGGGAGAATCGCTTGGGTCCATGTGTTTGAGGCTGCAGTGACGCAGTGAGCCACGACAGCCCCACTGTATTCCAGCCTGGGCAACTCAGCAAGACCCAGTCTAAAAAAAAAAAAAAAAAAAAAAAAAAAAAAAAAAAAAAAAAAAAAAAAAAAAAAAAAAAAAAAAGGAAGAAATGGTTTATAAAAAAGTTTTTAAAAACGCATTCACATAAAACCACTTAAAAATAGAAAAAGAGGAAGTCCTAGAGAATCTAGGCCCTGGGCTGCTAACAAGGCACTCTAAAGAGAGAGCTGCCCCGGGCGCTAGCTTCCCGCATCTGCACAGGTGTATCCGAAGCCAAGAAGAACCGTGATTTTTTGAGACAGAGTCTCACTCTGTCACACAGGCTGGAGTGCAGCTGCGCAACCTTGGCACACTGCAGCCAACCTCTGCCTCCTGAGATGAAGCAATTCTCATGCCTCAGCCTCCTGAATGGCTGGGATTACAGGTACACGCCACCATCCCTAGCTGATTGACCGATTTTTGAGACAGTCTTGCTCTGTCACCCAGACTAGAGTACGGTTGGCATAATCTTGGCTCACTGCAACCTCGCCTCCGGGGTTCAAGCAATTCTCCGTGCCTCAGCCTCCTGACTGGCTGGGATTACAGGCGCCTGCCACCATGCCCAGCTAATTTTTATATTTTTTAGTAGAGACAGGGTTTTGCCATTTTGGCCAGGCTGCTCTTGAACTCCTCATCTCAGGTGATCTGCCTGCCTTGGCTTCCCAAAGTGCTGGGATTACAAGCATGAGCCACCGTGCCCAGCCAATTTTTAGTAGGAACAGTGTTTCACCATGTTGGCCAGGCTGGTCTTGAACTCCTGACCTCAGGTGATCTGCCTGCCTTGGCTTCCCAAAGTGCTGGGATTACAAGCATGAGCCACCGTACCCAGCCAATTTTTTGTATTTTTAGTAGAGACGGGGTTTGCACCGTGTTGACCAGGATGGTCTCGATCGCTTGACCTCGTGATCCACCCGCCTTGGCCTCCCAAAGTGCTGGGATTACAGGCTTGAGCCACCGCGCCCGGCCGAATCTTTCTTTCTTTTACTGATGGATCCCAAACACCTCCAGCAGTGCAGGGCAAACGGCAGGTGCTCAGTAAACAGCTGATGGATGAGTGAGTGCTAAGTCTCTTGTACTAGTAGGGATCATTGGATGCAGTCCTTCAGAGGGAGAGTTTCGAAGGACGGAGTAAAAATTTCACTGCGTTGACTCGAGGCATAATATAACACCTGAAGGAAGAAGAAACTTTCCTAGTTTTCCTCTTAATCTGTTCTCCCGTTTAATGGCCCTTTACCCCTTGCTCCCAATTCTCCTGTGTTCTCTGCGCAATGGCCAATAGCGGCATTTACATATTTAGACTGAAAATCTGGAGAATTTCAAGGCCCAAATCTTTCTACAATTCTCTCGTTGCCGATTCCGAGCCTCTGGCCCAGGGCCTTCCCGCAGCTGGGGAGGTGATTTCAGATACTCTGATGGACCACAGGTGCTCTCACGTCCCCGGCACCCCTCCCCCTTCTCCCCGCCCCTCCACGGCTAGGCTCGTTGACCGTAACACTCAGCCGGTGGTATTAAGCGCTCGCGTTCTGCCTCCCCTCCTGGGCCGTGCACACGCTTCACGAGGCTGGAGGCAGGGGCCGCGTCCCCGGCGCCCGGCACAAAGTGGAAGCTGCAAACTTAGTGTTGGTCGTCTCCCTTCTTGTTGCTCTGACTCTCCGCATTGTGTATCCCGGGGACCGCGCACCGGAGGGAGGCGACGCGGCTGGTTTCTCGTTGGGGCTAAGCCCCTCTCTCCCTGCCGGGCCTCCGGCCAGCTCTGCCCCTGCACCCGGGCGCTCTCACCTTGGCCGAGACCCCCCTCCAGCTGCAGAAAGCCTCGTAGGCGGCGCGCACCGCGGCGCGGGCCTCGGGCACCCCGCAGTCGGCCACCATGCCCAGGGCGGCGCCGCTGGCCGGGTCCTGCACGGGGAAGGTGGCGGCGGCCGGGAGCCAGCGGCCGCCCACGAAGCTGTCGGTGCGCAGCAGCGCGGCGGAGAGGTTCGCCAGGCCCCCAGCGTAGCCGCGGAACGGGGCCGGGCCGGGCGCGGGACCCCAGGCAGCCACCGGGCCGCCGGCGCGGGGGCGCAGGCGGCAGCCGGGAAACGTCCACCGGAGGCGCCGGGGCCCGGAGCTCCGCAGCCAGAAGCAGGTCGCCATGACCCGGGTAGCGACGGCGACGGGAAACAGGCAAGCGGGCGCGCGCGCACGGGAGCGCGGGGGTCAAGGGGAAGCGGGAGGAGCGAGGCGGCGCCGGGGGCGCGCGGGGGAGGCGCAGGAGCCGGCGGGAGGTGGCCGAGCCGCGGAGCAGCGCCCTCTCTCCGCGCCCTTCGCGCCGCACCGCCGTGCCGCCCTCTGGACCTTGCCCTGAGCGCCGCGCGGCTTCGCTCCCGGCGGAACCTTCTCCCGGGGGAGGGTTGGGGTCGGGGATGGAGGAGGCTCGCGGGCAGATGCGCCTGCGGACTGCTGTCACTTTTCCTCTTTTCGGGTGCTCATTTGTCACTAACTGCTTCCGAGCCCCCCAGCTGCTGCTAGAGACCCGCTCTCAGCATCTCCCCAAATTCTGCGTCCCCAGAATGTGTGCGCGGCCCATAGATGGGGCCGGTGCCTGCGCTGGATGCCAAGGCCATGGTCACGCGTCTTCATCGCCGAGCCCCGCAGCACGTAGGGTGGACTGGAAGCCATGGTTCCGTGAGGGCGCGAAGTGTGACCCCGCGTTCTGCCGCCTGGCTGCTTTTCTGGCTGTGTGTCTAGGCATTATCTTAGGGCACTCCCGATAAATAACAGCGCCTTGGGAAGAAACACACTAGAATCCAAACTCAGTCTGTTGCCGACAGGCTGTGTGAGCTTCGACAGGTTAACCTTAGTCCAGTCACTTCTCAAATAGAACCAAATCTACCCCATAGGTTTGTGGTGAGATAACGTAAAATGCTTATGACAGTTGCTACTTTAAATTCAGTATAGTGCTCCAAGTCATACTAGCTCCCCTAGGTCAAGCCGCTAGGAAGATTAAAGTTGGGCCACCAACTAGCAAAAGGAAGCATTTGTCAAAATTAGCCAAGGTATAAGGATTGAGCACCTTTAAACAGCATTCTTCATCCGTTCAAAAATTAGACTTGGGCCTAAAACTCTGAAAGCATCAGGGAAACTTAAAGCCTAATGAGAATAAAAATAGCAGGTCTTTGCTGGGAATTGGTGGGTACAAATGAAGCTCAACCCTACGCATCGATTTTAGGTTACTAGTCTCAGCATAGCTCCCTTGCTCAACTCCTACAGAGTTTCACCTTTTTCTAGGACGTTGAATTTTTTTCTAGGACATTTGCAAAATGCTGAGGCAGTAACTTTAAATTTCGATTTTGTCTTTTGCTGAGTCAGGCCCATTTTAAGCCAGTCTGGCAGAAGTGATCACTCTGCTGTTATGAGTTTCATGAATTTCACACTACTTTGTTCTTTGTTTGATTGCAGGAACTGGGGAGAACCAGGCAGTACTAATAGGGATGTCGGCCAGTGGGTACCTGTAGTCCCAGCTGCTCGCAGTTGGGGCTGGGGAGCTGGTGTGTTTACATCTCCTACCTGCAGAGGGAGGGACGGTGGGGTGGGTGTGTGGGTGTGTGTCCGAGTGTCCGAGACCCAGGTTGGAGTGCAGTGGTGTGACCTCGGTTCCCTGCAGCCTCCGCCTCTTGGGTTCAAGCGATTCTCCTACCTGAACCTACGCAGGAGCTGGGACCACAGGTGTGCACCACTACACCCAGCTAAGTTTTGCATTTTTAGTGGAGACCGGGTTTCACCACGTTGGGCAGACTGGTCTCGAAAGCCTGACCTCAAGTGATCTGCTGTCCTTGGCCTCCCAAAATGCTGGGATGACAGGATAGCCCATTTCTTTCTCCTCCCTTCCCTTGTTGTCCCCGTCCCCGTCCCCTGGCACCATCTTGGCTCACTGCAACCTCCATCTCCCAGGTTGAAGTGATTCTCCTGCCTCAGCCTCCTGAGTAGCTGGGAATACAGGTGCCTGCCACCATGCCCAGCTAATTTTTGTATTTTTAGTAGAGATGGGGTTTCACCATGTTGACCAGGATGGTCTCCATCTCTTGATATCGTGATCTGCCCGCCTCAGCCTCCCAAAGTGCTGGGATTACAAGCGTGAGCCACCACACCTGGCCAGGATAGCCCATTTCTATTGGCCTGGGGAAATCATTTAATTGAGGCTTCAATCAACTGAGGCCCAGAAAAGTCAAGTTAATTGTGGCTGCCTCTCTTGTTCAAAAATTACTCTAGGGCCATCGCGGTGGCTCACACCTGTAATTCCAGCACTTTGGGAGGCCGAGGCGGGCGGATCACCTGAGGTCAAAAGTTCGAGACCAGCCTGGCCAACATGGTGAAACCCCATCTCTACTAAAAATAAAAAAATAGCCAGACGTAGTGCCAGACACCTGTAATCCCAGCTACTCTGGAGGCTGAGGCAGGAGAATTGCTTGCACCCAGGAGGTGAAGGTTGCAGTGAGCTGAGACCGTGCCATTGCTCTGCAGCCTAGGCAACAAGAGCGAAACTCCGTGTCAAAAAAAGAAAAAAAAAAAAAAAAAGTCCACTTACCTTCTTAAGGTTCTATTTCAAACGGTGCCCACTTCCTTTCCCAGATGACTTATCCATTAGGCACAGTAGGTATGATGCTGAGGGCCCATAAATCTTTTAGGAGCACTCAAAAATGTTAAATTTCTTCTAAAATCCAAAGAAAAAAACTTGGACGTGGCATATTAATATGTTAATCATATAGCAATGCAGATGTAAAATGTGCTTTCTATTTATCATTTGTATAACAGGAAGTACTTCACAAAGGCAAAAGTGCCTGGAGCTTAGAGTTCACAATGTGCCCCTCCCCTGTCCCTCCAGTTTTGTGGCCCTCTGCAAGCCCCCATCCCAAGAGTAAACAATTCCCTCTGGGCTCCTGTTTTACTTCCAGCCTGTCCTGATGCCGCTGCACCTGGCTGGGTGTCCTCACCAGGGCCTACAGGGAGGAGACCACCAGGTGAGAGGGATCTCTTCCCTCCTTTCTCCTTTGCCTGCCTTTGTCCCGAGAACCTCGAATCCCCCGTTTCCACCCTTATCCCCCTATTTTCTTTCTTTTTTTGAAACAAGATCTTACTGTCACCCAGGCTGGAGTGCAGTGGTTCGATCTCCGCTCACTGCATCGTCCACTTCCTGGGTTCAAATGATTCTCCTGCCTCAGCTTCCCAAGTAGCTGGGAGTGCAGGTGTGTGCCACCATGCCCGGCTCATTTGTGTATGTTTAGTACAGATGGGGTTTCACCATGTTGTCCAGGTTGGTCTTGAACTCCTGACCTTAGGCAATCCACTCACCTCGGCCCCTCAAAGTGCTGGGATTTCAGGCATGAGCCACTGCTCCCAGCCTCCTCTCCCCTATTTTCTAGAGTGGCCCACATAAAGGTTGAGACCCTCTGGCTTTCAAGCCTGTGTTCTCCCTAGTCCTTAATGTAACCGTACGTTTCCTTTGCACCTTCAGTCTGTATTTCCCGAAGAGGTCTAAATAGTAGAATCATGCTGTCTTGTTTATAACAAAGCCACCCATATTAGGAAAGGGGGATTGTGGGACAGAAAGAAAAATATTTCCATATGCTTATTATTTGTCAGATAGTTTTCTTAATATTGTGAGCTACCTTTTAACTTTGTTTAAAGTCAAATCTTCGATGTTTTTATTGTTACAAAAATAATACAAAGTTCATAAAATGGCAAGCACTGTTGTCACATAAAGACCATATTCATAACTATCACAGTTCCTAAGCAAATAATTTCCTCTTATTTTATTACATTCATAAATTCATATTCTGTACCTCAAATACAAAAACAATAGAAATTGAGACATTTGTGATTAGTATTGTTTGGTAACTGAACACATTTCTTTTTTTCTTTTTTTTTTTTGAGATGGGGGTCTTACCCGGCCTGTGGTCTGATCTCGGCTTACTGCAACCTCCGCTTCCCAGGTACAAGCAATCTTCCCGCCTCAGCTTCCTGAGTAGCTGGGACCACAGGTGCAAGCCACCATGCCCGCTAATTTTTTTTTTTTTTTTTTTTTTTTTGGTAGAAGGATTTTGCCGTGTTGCACAGGCTAGTTGTGAACTCCTGGTCTCAAGCCATCTGCTTGCCTTGGCCTCCCAAAGTGCTGGGATTATAGGCATGAGCCATCACGCCTGGCTGAACCTGTCTCTTTGGTGCTTTTTGGTTGGGTGTGTTGTATCATGCCTGGTTAGATCCAGTTTTCAGGCAGTATCACTTTTTTCCTGGTGACATTTTGCAACCCTCCCACTGTAATCATTGACTGACTGCTCTTGGATGTTCTGAGAGAGAATATCCAAAGTCGCAGTTAATCCTTGCCACTACCTCACCCACAGGCTGTGGAAGGCCCAGAGTGAGAGGGAGGCACGCTCAAAGGCCTCTGGTGGCCAGAAGGGGTGTGGAAACGTGTAGACACTGCACGGACGGTGGGCACTGGAGGAACGGGACATTCACCGTCGGGGCAGCTGGCTCTTCCGCTGCAGCTGGTTGTCATATTACATAGGAGTCTCAGTTCGTGATGCCAGTTCTTTGATTTTTAGGAGAGCCAGAAATCTGGATTTCTACATGAATTTTCTTATTTAAAAAGTGTATAAACGTTAAAACAAGTTTGTAAACTTGATGTAAGTTTACAAAACATTTTAGCCAAACAAAACATGTAGCCATAGGCCTCTAGGCTAATGAAGAGTCCAGAGGCCGTATGGCTGCATGTTTTGCTTGGCTAACAAGATGTTTTGTAAACTTAGATCAAGTTTAACTTTAGCCCAGCTCTGAGCTAACCTGGGCCTACTGCCCTCAGGTTTGGCAGAGCTGGGGGATTCCTTTCCTTGGGGCTGTACAGGTGGCTGTGTTAAGCTTACAGAGGAAACTTGCGCACACAACTAAGTGTCTCAAATCATTCCACTTTTTTTCCTCTCTCCCTCCCTCCCTCCCTCCCTCCCTCTCTCTCTCTCTCTCTCCCTCCCTCCCTCCCTCCCTCCCTCTGTCTCTCTCTTTCTTTCATCTTGCTCTGTCACCCAGGCTAGAGTATAGTGATTAAATCTTGGCTCACTGCAGTCTTCACCTCCCAGGTTTGAGAGATCCTCCCACCTCTGCCTCCCCAGTAGCTGGGCCTATAGGCACGTTCCACCATAGGGACTAATTTTTGTATTTTTAGTAGAGATGAGGTGTAAACATGTTGATCATGCTGGTCTCAGACTCCTGACCTCAGGTGATGCACCTGCCTTAGCCTCCCAAAGTGCTGGGATTATAAGTGTGAGCCACCACACCTGACCAAATCATCCCACTTTCTATTCATCCTTTCTTTTTTTTTTATTGTAAAATTCTGTTTTTTTATTAAGTTCTGGGGTACATGTGCAGATTGTGCAGGATTGTTACATAGGTATACACATGCCATGGTGGTTGGCTGCATCCATCGCCCCTTCATCTACATGAGGTATTTCTCCTAATGCCATCCCTCCCCGATCTCTACCCCCTGCTGTCCCTTCCCTAGGTCCCTCATGCCCCAACAGACCCTGGTGTGTGATGTTCCCCTCCCTGTGTCCCTGTGTTCTCACTGTTCAACACCCACTTATGAGTGAGAACATGTAGTGTTTGGTTTTGTGTTCTTGTGTCAGTTTGCTAAGAGTGATGGCTTCCAGCTTCATCCATGTCCTTGCCAAGGACATGAACTCATCCTTTCTTATGGCTGCATAATATTCCATGGTGTATATGTGCCACATTTTCTTTCCTTTCATTTGGCTAACCTGAGAGTGAATACCATTTCCTCCTACTCTTTTAGGAGTGCATCTCTTGCTTTTAATGTAAACTATACATAATTTGTGCTTTAAGATTACCATTAGTTCTGTGAAGAGCTTAATTTTCCCATGGATTAAGTGCAGCTGGCTACCTCATGATATATCCTGAGCTTCACATTTTCTAAACCCTGTCTCTTGGCCCTAAACCTGCCCCCTTCCTTCCACCTCCCTAGTGCAATTGGCATCTTTGCTTGCGCTGCAGGAATCTGACCTTGCCACGGGCTCTGGATAAGCCTATTAGAATAGCCAGAGGTAGAGAGACCAGGAGTGGCTGCTCTTGTGTAATCCCGTTCAAGTGTCAGTATCTGTTGCCAAACACTGAAAGAGATGCCACTTCCAGCTGATCACCATAGAAGCTTTCCCAACACTTGTGGCTTGGGAGGCAGAGGAAGCAGGACAGCCTGAAACGATGCATGAGAGATCCACCCCTGTAAGGTGAGGTGCTCCAGTATGTTGGCTGTATGCACAGGTGAGCCTTTTTATAGAAAGCAAAACATCTGGAGACAGTTTTACTTGCGTCTCTAGAGAAATTTCATGTTAAAATGAAATTCAGAAAAAAAACCTCTGTCGGAAGATGCAGTGCTTCCGGCCTAAGGCTTTTTAGATTTGAGTTGATCCTCCTCCCCCCACCCCCAGGAGCACAGTTTGTTTGCTGTTCTGGTGAAGTTAAACAGTATTTGAACAGTTGACTTCATTGGAAAATGATAGGATTTTGAAATGAGACTTGGTTTCCTGGGTCAGTGACCTGCTTAGAGGGAAGCAGCGGGTCTGCGCCTGGATTTCGGAGTCACGGTGCTGCTGCAGCTCTGAGCATTCCCACGTCGCCAGAGAGCCCGTGGGGAAGGAGAGCATGTCTGCTTTCAGGTTGTGGCCGGGCCTGCTGATCGTGCTGGGTTCTCTCTGCCGTAGAGGTTCATCCTGTGGCATTTCAACGCACGTAGAAATAGGTAAGTACTGGTGCCTTGTTATGTTGCTGAGGGGGCAGTAAATCTGCGAAAAGACATTAAGGAAGAGATTGAAAATCCAGCCCGAGGTTGAATACCGTTTCCCCCGTGACTGAGCTGAGTGGCCTGACAGCAGGGAGGAGAAGGCAGTGATTACAGTCATGCAGGGAGAGAGATGGGCAGCATGGGTTCAGTTAAGGGGCAAATAAAGAGAGCTGATGCCGCGCTGGTCACGGGGCCCCTGTGTGTTTCTGTGGGTGGGGAAATAGCGGTTCTGTAAACCAGAGGTTGCAATGCAGCGGCAGGACTGACAGAATGGGGGAGAAATAAGATGGGTGGAATATGGCAGGAGTGAGAAATGTACTTTTGTGGTTTTACATGGCCAAGGACAGGCATTTCCAAGTATATGTAAAGAGCTACGTGTGGCCATGGCAGTGGGTCCCTTGAGTCATACTGCCATAAAGGCGCTTGGCGTCAGGAAGGTCAGGGAAGCGAGGGAGTTCGGTCAACCACATTCACGGTGCCGATAAGATGGCAGGAGTTGGGGAGGAGAGGAGGACACCAGGCCAGTGCCACTGACCTCAGGGGCAAAGGCAGAGTCATCCTGGATATAGGGAGATGGTACCACAAAGAGTTATTTAAAATGTTTGTTTTTCTAGCTTTATTAATGTATAATTGACAAACAGAAATTGTTGATACACATATGCCTTGTGAAATGATTGGCACCCTCATCTATCACCTCTCATAGCTATCATGTGTTGTGCACATGGGATGAGAACACTTAAGATCTTTCTTAGCAAAAGGATTTGGTTCTTGTAGGAAGTATATTTGTGATGTTTTAACACATGGGAAAGGGTGAGTCAATTTGTAATAGCATGAACTATGATAACATTCTACAGCAGTTTTCAGATTAATTTCAGATATACCTGATATTCTGAGTTTAGTTTAGATAAAAATGAGATAATTTAATAGTTATACTACCTCCAGAAGTTTCAAAGAATGATAAGCATAAAGTAGACCTATATACTGAGCTATGATGGGTGAGGACCTGTTATGACAGAACCTGACTATCTGAAAGGACACTAGAGGTCACCAAGTCCAGTTCTTTTCTGTTACAGGTGAAGAAACTGCTACTAGACAGCTTGACAGCTCACTTCTTGGTGGCCCGGCCTAGAGTTACATGTCCTGACATCTGGTCTGGTGCTCTTTCTGTTAAAAATGTGTTGCTGGAAGGGAGCTGTGAAACAGTGGAAAAGAGAATCAGACTTAGGTCTCATTCCAGCCCTGCAGTAAGCAGATGTGTGACTGAGCAATCCACTTTACCTACCTCTCGATTCTATGAAATGAGGGGGTTGAACTTCTTAAACAATTCTGAAACGTCTTCTAGTTCTGTGTTCTATGAAGCTGAAATTGCCAGTGAGCTGATAAGGAACAAATATAAATGGAAATATTCAGGCTTTTAATTATTAGTTTAAAAATTTCCAAGACAGATTGCATCTGAAATTTTAATAAAACCAAATAATTGCTTGCCTTCCTTCAGTAAGTACCAAACAAAGGTCTTAATGGATATTTGAAGAATAATATTTATGTGAACATAATTGATGGCAGCTCCTGAAATAGCATCTGCACAGATTCTGAGAATTTTTTTTTAACATAGAGGAAGACTAAAACTCCATCTTTTATTTACTAATAAATTAGATGATTTTATAAATATTTTGGTTTACTTTTTCATTTCTTAGAGTCTGAGTGGAAAGTTGGCATTATGAGAGAGTTAATTAGAAATGGCTCATTCAGCATAAATCACTGGAATCCTATACACAGGTCATTTGTATTTGGGGTTGTGATTTTTATGATATTAATGTTTATAATATAGTGGTGGCTATGTTTTTTTGTTACATGAATTTTAAAAATTAGATGTGATTCACAACGTAAATAAGGTATCGCCTTCAAATGTCACTTCGCAGGGAATGTTAGTCTTCTTACGCATTCTTGGGAGATGCAGGCTATGGGTGGGTGTCTGTATAGGTGGGTGTGGGGTGGAGTCAGCAGCCTTCTGATATTTGTTCTTCCACAGTGGTCCAGTGATGAAAAACCTTTGAGGATCATTGGTGCAGTCCATAGGTTAGGTGTTACATTGTATTTTATACTTAGGTTTATCTACCTCAGTACTGAAACGAAATATGATGATGACAGTTTCTTGAGTTCCTACCAGGTGTCAGCCAGTGTGCTTGTCATTTAGCGTTTATTTTCTGTCACTTAGCAGTTATTATTTCAACCAGTGGGTATCTTTTAACCTCAGTTTTCTGTAGGAGGGAACTGAGGTCTAGAGAGGTTGAATAGCACTAAAGGTCATAGAGCCGTTTAAGAGTTAAGCAGAAACTAAATCACTGTCTAAACTTGATTTGTGCTATATAAATACTGCACAAATCTGATTATACCTAATGCAGATTGCCAGTGAGTGCAAACTTACTTCATTTCCTGTATCCCTGACAGATACAACCACAAAATTACATGTTTGTCTTTTAAAATGATCTTGACTAAGTTACATTTTCAGTAATACTTGAACTTAATTGATTTATGTATTTATTTCTCTCAGGACACAGAGCGCTGGAGTTTCTTCAGCTTCATAAAGGGCGTGTTAACTACAAAGAGGTAGAAATCTTGATTGTTCTTTTCTTTTTTTGTGCATTAGCTTTCTTCTATAGGTGCCAAACAAAGGTCCGAACAGATATTTAAACAGTAATTTTAAGACTCATTTTGGCTGGGCGCAGTGGCTCAGCCCTGTTACCCCAGCACTTTGGGAGGCTGAGGCAGGTGGATCACCTTAGGTCAGGAGCTCGAGACCAGCCTGGCCAGCATGGAGAAACCCTGTCTCTACTAAAAATACAAAATTAACTGGGCATGGTGGTGCTTGCCTGTAGTACCAGCTACTCAGGAGGCTGAGGCAGAAGAATCACTTGAACCCAGTGATTCCATTCAATTGCAGTGAGCTGAGATTGCACCATTGCACTCCAGCCTGGGCAACAAGACAAACTCCATCGGGGGAAAAAAAAAAAAAAAGACTCATTTTTAACTTCTTCATGTTATTAATGTTATGAGACATTAATATTATGGTGGAAAGGTATATGTCTACTCCAAGTGCTCCTTGAACATTTTATATGTGTCTTATATATAGCACACCTTAAAGATTTTGATGATATGAATCATAATTTGAAAAAATACTTGTGGAATTTTTAAAATAGTACATTTTTTTAAATTTACTGCTCTGTGTCATTAGAATTTTAATGTATGTGCTGCTGAGGAGAGTCCATCTGTTTTGTCTTTATTGTAGAGACGGGGTCTCACTAGGTTGCTCAGGCAGTCCGCCCACCTTGGCCTCCCAAAGCACTGAGATGACAGGCATGAGCCACTATGCCTGGCCTGTCTTTTTTGTTTTCATAAAGAAAAGCCATAATTGAGACAGATCATTTATTTTCCACTTCTTGTTACTGTGTGTTGCACACAAATTGCATCACCAGGAGAAGGAAGTATTTATTAAGAAATAGGCACTGAGATTCTCTGTCCGACTTCGATATTCTGCTGCATCCTAGCAGGACTAGCTCATGACTCACCTTTACCCATCTTCACATGAACACATTCTGATCCTGTGCACTGTTTGTTCTATAGCTAAATAATACTTTGTGACAAAAATGTAATTCTTTCATACCTACATTTGATAAGTGGTTAGCTTCCCTCCTGACATCAGAATTGGATCATTTGATACCGTTAAGTCTTGATAATCCATCTGGGAAGCAGCATGGTAAGATAACTGAAACTTACTGTATCCTCAAATCATTTTTAGTTATAAGATTCCGCTTCACTTGTCAACTTAACAGGCCAAATGAGGAAAAGCAGCATTTATATCTGATAGTCATCTTCATTGGCTTTAACAGGGAGTAGGCAGGAAAGAGGAGGAGAAGCGAGAATCTGCCTAACTCATCACATGAACAGTCAATCCTGAGCATGTGCAGAGTGATTTCTAGTACAGATATTCAAGCTCATATTATTAATTTAAAACATATTAAATGGACAGAGACTCTCCTTCTCAGGATGCATTCTAATCCAAATACTAATGTCATCCTCAGAAACAGGCCAGGCATGAAGGGTCATGCCGGTGATCCCAGCACTTTGGGAGGCCAAGGTGGGTGGATCACTTGAGGTCAGGAGTTCAACCTGACCAACATAGTGAAACCTTATTTCCAATAAAAATACAAAAATTAGCTGAGCATGGTGGCAGACAACTAGAGTGTCACTGCAGTGGAGGCTGCAGTGAGCCGAGATTGCACCACTGTACTCCAGCCTAGGTGACAGAACAAGACTCTGTCTCAAAAATAAATAAAAAATAAAATAAAACCATGGTCCCAGTTACTTGGAGGCTGAGGCAGGAGAATCGTTTGAACCTGGGAGGTGGAGGCTGCAGTGAGCTGAGATCATGCCACTGTACTCCAGCCTGGGCAACAGAGTGAGGCATTTTCTCAAAAAAAACAAAAATTAAGTGGGCATGGTGGTGTGCCCCTGTCATCTTAGCTACTCAGAATGCTGAGGCAGGAGAATCGATTGAACCTGGGAGGCGGAGGCCGCAGTGAGCCGAGATCACACCACTGCACTCCAGCCCGGGCGACAGAACAAGACTCTGTCTCAAAAATAAATAAATTAAATAATTAAACCATAAGTTCCCATGAAAATACCATCAATTATAACCCGACACTTCAGGATTCACTCTAGCCTTCACCACGTCCATATCTTTAACTCCTTTCTCTAACGCTGAGAAACCTGGCTCCTGTTATTCTCAGTATCTTTATGTGCTCAGTCTCCTTT